GACGCCGGGTACCCCAGTAGCAAATATATCTACATATACATATACATAAACAAGGGAACCCATTAAAATATCATATAGAGCATTCATGAATGTCCAGCACTCCTCATCACGGACTTCGACGCTAATACAGTTCAAAGGATGAGTTTTCAGGTCAGGTGATGAAAAGTCACATGGGAGGCCGTTTAAGCGGAACCCAAAGCATTAACCCCTTTGATACCGTTGGGTCAAATATACACATATAAAATACTTAATAGCTGCGAGGAGAAACATATTTACTTTAACTTATTTTTATGATATTCAAGTTGATAAACAAATTTTGCTAATACTTTACACTATGGTTAAACGAACACTCAAATTACTATGTGGATGCGATGGGAAATAAAAACAATTATCCTCGTTACTTGGAATATTGTTTGTTTGAATTTAAAAAAAAATCATAAGCATTTTCTGATTACTTTGAAATGTTTCCAGAACCATTCCACTCCATTTTCATATATTTTTTTTCCTCTGAAAGTTTTATTTCAGTAGTCAATAAAACCGTGACCCCTGGAAACAAAATATCAAAGTCAGAAGTATCTTCTAAAGGTCTAGGTAATAGTTGGTCTTTCCTACTGAGCCCACCCACACACCTTTGGCATATATATATATATATATATATATATATATATATATATATATATATATATATATATATATATATATATATATATATATATATAATAACCTATATAAGTTATTAGCTTTTACATTAGTTTGAAAAGTGGGGTCTATTTTTCCTCTATTATATCTACTACATATATTTCTCTCTAAAACACACACACACACACAGGATATATCACTTATGTCAGACCAATCCTGGAATATGCAGCTCCAGCCTGGAGTTCATACCTAGTTAAACACAAGACAAAGTACGAGAAGATTCAGCGGTATGCCACCAGATTCGTCCCGGAACTGAATGGTATGAACTACGAGGAAATGCTAAAGGAGCTGAACCTCACGGCCCTGGAAAACAGAAGAGTAAGGAAGACATGATAACCACATACAAAATTATCAGGAGAATTGACTGGGTGGACAAAGGCAAACTCTTCTGCACGGGTGGAACATGAACAAGGGACACAGGTGGAAACTTAGAACCTAGATGAGCCACAGAGACATTAGAAAGAATTCTCTCAGTGTCAGAGTAGTTAATAAATGAAAAACACAAGGAAGTGTTGTGGTGGAGGCTGACTCCATACACAGTCTCAAATGTAGGTATGATAGAGCCCAGTAGGCTCAGGAATATAATGGCATTCAACGAATATATGGGCTTCCTTAGTATATATTGTAATCCCTGGTGTACTTAGAAATCATTACTATATTAAAATCCTTGTTATATATAAATAAATATATATGATGAACCTCAGTTTATGTATGGATACTAAGTTCATATAGGGGATCTTTCGCATCTAAACGAATTATTAGCATATATGGAAACGTTTGGAAAATATATATGATTTTTTTTTTTCATAATTGGAAATCTTTGTATACATTTGGACCCTTGGCATATTCAACAATCCTCAGTATGCTCCCCATGACGCAGGGGGTGTGGTAAATGCATTGAAGAGACACACTACTGGTCTCTGAGAGAAGGGAAATTCAGGGCGTGTTAGTGAATGCAGTCTCGAGGCACAATAAATCGTTGTCAGGAGAATTGCACGTAACGAAGAGTTCACTGCTTGACAATGCCACCAACAAAGCCGTTTCCGGGTCCGGAAATGGGTAACTTACGGGTTTGAGAATGGTAACTTCCGGGTCTAAACCAGGTAAGTTACGGGTGGAAAACAGGGAACTTCCGGATTAGAAAGAAAAAAATATTCCCCGACTTGTTTGATAAGATTTCTTACCCATAAATTTAAGAATTTTGTTTTGTTAAAAATGACTATGTGGATTGTTCGCCAGCCTGATGCTAAAATGGGTTTTATAATTTTAAGTGTTATTCTTATTAAAGAATAATACTATCATATGCAGTATATTCATAAGAAAAAAAATCCATGAAATAATTTACTTTCAAGGGATATTTGTATAATTTGAAAATCCTGAATCGAGCATTGGGGTCAAAATTATTTTTTGTGTGTGAAGTGTAATTAATATTCATATTATAAATATTTTACTAATTAGAATCAATTCATAAATAACTATATTATTTGCCCAATTAAGATATATCTCAGCTAGAGCTGCAAAGTTTTGTTCTAAATGAAGTAATAAAAACATATACAAACAAGTTATTATAATTTGCAATTCTGATAATGCACAGGACTTTTCTTCGTAAATTGGAAAGAAGTATTAGTGTTTTGGCAAAATATTATATATATTAATGCATGTGACTTAGATCTGGATCCCGTATGACATCCAATCCCAGTATGATTAACATTTCAATAACCATTCATTCATCATATGCCTTTGTTTATTTTTTACTGATTTTTTTTACACAGGTGGGTAGAGTAGATGATTTTTGACCTCTGAAAAGCTTTAAGCCTGCTGACAGTCCAACATTTCTTTATCGTGGTAGTTTTTCATGGAACACGACCAGCCTGTTGGCTTACAACCAGGTTCACAGTCACTTACTGAGTGAACAAGCGTGAGCAGTAAAGAATTAGCACCTCGCTCAGTACTGGCGAGGTGCTGAGCAAGAGTGTGTTGCTACTACTACTAACAAGAAGCTATTTTACTGGGATAGTAGAGATATTCATGAAACTGCTTTCAGACAATGCTATATAGATTAGGCAAAAAATCAAGTGAGAGCGGCAAAGGGGATTTAGTAGGGCCTAAATTGGCTGCAAGAAAAGCCAGAAAAAGTGGAGGATAACGAGAAAAATGGCCACATAAATAATGGGGAATGAATGTTAAGGATCTGAAAGCGTAGGGAGGACTTCACCACGATTCTCGCGCCACAATCGCACATGAAACTCTACCGTCATCAGCCATAGCAATTTAGAAGATATTTAGAAGATATTATCAATTTATTAGATATTAGAGTCTTTAAGAATATAAAAAATCAAATATTCTTCAAAACACTATAGGTTAACTATTATATAAAACTCATTACCAGCCCCTCTCAACCATGGATATATATCTAATATATTCAGGAAACCATTAGGATAAAATATATTATTTAAGGACACTGCCGAAGATCTATTGGCCCATACGATGCGGCTCCTATATATATATATATATATATATATATATATATATATATATATATATATATATATATATATATATATATTATATATATATATATATTTTCAGTCAAACTCCGTCATCAACTAATCAAAGTACCGTGTCTCCCAAACTAGGACCTGATCAAGAGAGGACAGAATATTAATTCATAACGTAAAGATATAATAACAAGGAAAACTACAACAACAGCAGAGATAAAGCTGGAGAAAATAAGAGCAATAAATCTTCAAAGAATTTATCTCGGAAACAATGCTTCAGGTCTGGTTTATCTTCAGGTCTGACTGAAGAAATTTGTTTCTTTCCGTTAACAATTGTTGACGACGCCAAACTGTTCAGAAACAATAGCATTGATGATGGCTGTAAGATGTTTTACGAAGGCCATATCAAGCTGCACAAAATTTCTAATAAATGGATACTAGATTTCAACCAAAGTAAATGCATTGCGAAAGGAATGGGAACAGGAAAAAACAGACTAAAAGAGCAGCTCACACAGGGAAAAGGAAACACCTCAAAGTATTAGAGAAGGAAAAAAAAACATAACCAGGGGACAAAAATACCTTCAAACATCCCATCGGAGTCTCACACCACGTAATCACAGAAACAGAGAACGAGAAGATTGAGAATATCAGAGAAACTATCAGGAATCTAGAGAAGGCTGTTTTCAGATCACTGAACTACCAACGTAAGATGAAAATAGCTGCCTTCTAAAAATACAACGCCAGCAGGAAACCTTTACTTTATCAACTTCCAAAATAATTTAAGAGTGTATATACTTGTAAATATTATTCTCGATTTATGGGGGATTGTGGGTACGAAGACTGTCTGAAAGAAAGGCCAACGACGATTAAAAATAAAAGAGCAGAAGGGGACATCTTCGAGACATATAAAATACATAGAGGGTACTATGTATTTTATAATAAGGTTTAATATGAGAGGCGATTCAGAATGAGTTGTAAGAACGAGAGTCTATGTATGAAGTTATAAACTTATGGAACAGTAGCTGAAGCTCAACCCATCGCAAGCATTATTAAGTGCGTTTTCATTCAATAATTACATAGCGCGACTTTCCATTTGAGTATAACTAACGCAAGGCGCCTATTGCTGTGCACCGTGACCTCTGACCTTACTCCCCCGCCACAGATGGCTCACCTTCACATCATACATGAGACACTGCACAACCTGACCTTACCTGAGCCCTGTCATTCTTCATCACGTCGCCTCCCACAGCCGCCGCCTCGCCGCTTTCTCACCTCTCGACCACATTCTTTCACAGAATTTCAGGATAACTTTATACATTTATTTTCATCTTGGCTACATATTAGCCTTTGCTGACACCAATGAATAGCCTTTGAAAAGTACAATGATGATATAGATCACGAATATACCGCTAATATTTTTGAAACATGTTTAAAAAAGAATAGGTCCTATATATTAGGTCAACAACAAGTGACTTCCACTTAATATATCATCAACTGTAATGCCCTTAAAAAAACGAGGAGCGAAGCCGAGCTGTCTGCTTTAAGAGAGGAAAACCATCCATAACACCTTGGCGAAGAAAGAAATCCTGAGAGACACGGACCCGTCATTACTCAGAACCTACACCCACTTCCTAGCACCTCTACAAATGGCCAGCAATCTACCCCAGCTCATCTGTAGACAGCTTGAGAGAGAGAAAGGTATTGAGATTTAGCGAAGTTGGGCGTAGTGCGCATGTCCGGGCCCGCCTACACCTCCCCCTTCCCCACCGGCCTCAAGCACTCGGCCAGGGACACATACTGTGATGGTGCAGTAGTCTGGTAGCGCCAGTCCGGGTCAGGCTGGGAGGTGGGTAGGACGGAGCCCAGGGAGCGAGGGAAGGGCAGTGTGAGAACAGGTCAACCTGTACAAGATGCAACACAGGACCAGTGGTGGGGGTGCCAGCGGCTACCTCAACATCAAATGTGAAACTGTGATCATAACTTACACTTAATTACGTCTATTTATACTCCTGGACTTGAAGTTTCTCGTGAGAAAGTTTCGCCAACGGACTCTGGCAGTGTTTTCATGCATTAATATTATGCCGTAAGACATGTGGACGATGTGCTATGTAGAGAAAAACAAAACAAAAACAGAAGTTAACTGAAGTACATTTCTGATGACCATAAGATGTGTTTCAGGAACTAATAAATATTACAGCCACACCTGCTGTGATCGTTGAATTGATGATTGTCGTATATATTGATTCTACTGTTTGATCGTTTATTTTACTGGCGCGACAAAAGAAATATAGTTGCTCTGATCATCAAAATTCAACGTCCCAAACACTTTGATTTATCGTAGAGAAAATAGTTTTGATGCTTCCTGAATGTTTATCAGTTCTTGCTAAAAGGCGCAACATATTAGAAAATCCAGCTGTGCTGCATTGATTATCAGAACCATTATTATGAGTTGAGTTTCAAGACTACATATTAAATTACTAGAAATAATCGCGTGTTAATTACACTTATTAATAAACTCACATTAGTTCCAGTTCATCTCAAGTCAATCAAATAAAATGTTTGATTGCTTGAAAATGGTCCAGGACGGACCGAAACGTCGTCTTCCCTTCACTTTCTAGTGTGTGGTTTGGTCAACAAAATAAAATGTTTATTAGTTTAGATAATGCTAAAACTTTCTGCGTTGATTTAATCAAAATATTTAAATTCGAATTAGTACGAGTTTACCATAGAGCCTGGCTAATGTTACATCATACGTCACTTATGAAGGCAGTGTATGCCTACACACACTCCTCCATAGTTCTTCAATATAAAGAGGTAGATACATATACTTATTAACAACAATTGTGTATATAATACTCAAATATATGGGAAATTAGATCCCTTGTGGACTAAACCAGACACTAGAATTGAAGAGACGACGAAGTTTCGGTCGTCCTGGACCCTTATCAAGTCGGTCCAGGACGGACCGAAACGTCGTCGACTCTTCATTTTCTAACGTGTGGTTTGGTCAACATATCTTCAGCCACGATATTGTGACGATCCCTTGCATGATGAAATTTTATCATGCTGTTAACCTTCATCTTGTGAGAGATTTATACCAGTCGAAGAAATTTTGCGCCTTTGTGGTAAGCACTTTCCATGGCAACTGATCTCAAGCAGCTGCTTGTAGTCAAGCTTAGAGGGAGTAGGGAGCCCTGCTTGTAGTGAGGGCTCGCTGACTGACTTCACTCAATAAAAATTGAGTGAATGGAATAACTCAAGGATATTCAGCATATTTTCCTAAAGTTATTCACTCAGAACTCCTTGTACTTGCAACCTATAGCTTCACTCGGCCTCCTACTTTATTCCCATCGTTTCCTTGCATACGATCTATAATATACACACATTAACTCGGACCTCGCCCGTACAACAATGTTGTTTTGATTTTTTGTTTTTCAACAAACACACACACACACACACACACACACACACACACACACACACACACACACACACACACACACACACACACACACACATATATATATATATATATATATATATATATATATATATATATATATATATATATATATATATTTATATATATATTTCTTAATATTCATCATTCTTCAAGCTGTTATATTTTTTTCTGTATTGAAAATGAGGTGAAATGAATATAGTAATTTTCGTAGAGCTGTCAGGTGGTTTTTGACAATTGTCAGGTGGTGTAAAACAGCTGGCAGATGGTTTTCATTGCTGTCAGGTGGTGCCAGCCTCCTGAGATAGCGCGGGCAAATATAGGTAGCCAAGATTACCAGAAACCTTAAGAGTTAATGCAAAGATTGGCGTCGAGTGAAGGAACACATGTTATTGTATCTCATTAGTTTTCTTCCTGCAATCAGATGTAGGTCGTCTCCTCTCACTCACAGTCATGCATTCACTCGGCTCTCTTACCTGCATTCAATCGGCTTTCACACCCACAGTCATGTATTCACTCAGTTTTCACACCCACAGTCATGCATTCACTCGGCTTTCACACCCACAGTCATGCATTCACTTGGCTCTCATACCCACATTCATGCATTCACTCGGCTTAGCCACTCAATTTTATTTAAGCGTTCTCTCTCCCTCTGACATCCGTTTTCTTTCTCTATTACATCCGTGTTCTCTCTTTTTATCATCTGTGTTCTCTCTCATGCATCCATGCTCTCTTTGTCCCTACATCTGTGTTCCCTGTCTTTTACACAGAGTTTTCAATTTCTAGTAACTGTGTTCTATCTTACTACAGTACTGTATTCCCCCCAACAGACTTCAAACTACAGCATTCACCTAATATAGTTGAGTGTCTAACACTATTACACTAACACTATAACAATGGGATTTTTCCTCACGCCTCTGACACCTCATTAGTACTCGCAATTCAGTTAATTTCTTACTAGAGTAATTCGCTTCTTGTTTTCACTTCATAAGAAAGTCAAGTCTCTTTAATTTAACACTAGTAAAGACTTTAAGAATACAAAAAAATAGCACTCATCTCTCAAAGTCGAGAATAATATATATTAAAAATAGCCACAATATGTTTTTAACTTGCTATGATAATTTGTTATTGTCTATTGAGTGCTTCGTTTTTGGGGCGTCTATAAAAAAAGTCTTTATCGCTGTTTTTGGTGAGTGATTACAGGTTCTCTCGTAATGTACATTTCTTTATCTTATCGTTCCCTTATTTTGCATTCATTCCTATTTCAGTTTCCCTTAAATTCTTTCTTCTCTTCCTGCTCCTACTCTTTCGAATATCATTTTATCCGTTATCCACACCTTTTCTTCTCGTCTGCGTCCTCTAATTTTCTTTGTGTTGTTCTCTTTTTTTATCCCATTCTGTTTTCTATCCACTTCCTTGCACTTGCCACATTGCTGTTCTTCCCTTCGTGAAAATTATTACCTGGCTCAGAAATGATATTATTTTGTTGCTGTTGGCTTATCTAAATCACAAGTTACGAGCTCGATTACATTTTTCCTCCACAAGGAAGGTAATTATACGTAATAATAATTAATTTACTTGATTTTTAACTATGGGTGATAATAGGTAATTATCTCACATCCATTAGTTTAGAAGTGTTAAGTGTTTTGAATGCCATAAATGATATTAAAGAGAAAGTCTTATTAGGACAAAGATTTATAGATGTGATTTTTTATTTTATATGGTTAAAACAGTGTGTAAATAAATATAATCTAGTCTAGATGCTGAAGAAAACTATTGTTTTAGGCTGATTAAAATTATTATTCTAGGCTACGGAAAACTTTAGTTTTTTGTCGGACAACTTTTGCTGTAGGACACCAAAAACTATTGTTTAAAACAGTAAAAACTATTTGGCTACTGGAAATTATTGTAAAACACTGAAGGAAACTATAATTTAAGGCTAAAAAGAAATACTGTTGCTTATGGTTAATGAAAATTGTTGCTTATAGCTGGATGTAACTGCTACTTAATTCTGCAGAAAACTATTGTTGAAGGCTGCAGAAAAACTGTTTTGACAGCAGAAAACAATTGCAAGCACAGCCACAATAGTTAAGTGGAACGCGAGTGTGATCAAAAGGAACATTATACTGGAAACGATCGTAATAAAGAACACTGAACCTTAATTATTGTCAAGTGCCAGAAGGTGATCTTCAGTGTATATATATATATATATATGTATATATATATGTATATATATTTACGTAGTTTCGATCTTTAGTCTATATATTCTACATTTCTGCTGCAGCGACTCGATCACAGGTAAGATATGCAGTTTTTGTCTTGAATCTATTTACATTTTGGAGTAAACTGAGGTATTTGGATTGAGTGTCTCTGTTTCTGTGACCATTTTTGTGTCTGTGTGTGTCTGTATGTCTCTCTCTCTCTCCGTCTGTCTGCCTGCATTGTTTAGAAAGTTTGTCTATTTGCACTATTTGCATCCTTTAATTTTCATATTATTTAATACTAGTATACGCATCTCGGCGTATACTAATTTCATCAATAAATTGCATGATTACAAAAACAGTTTACTGAACAGAAAATATTCTTAGCACTTCTCCATCGTTTAGGTAGATGGGAGAAACGAGAAAAAGGAGAATTTAAGTTCTGTTGTCGGAGACAGGTAGACTGTGTATATGTATTTTTTCTTTAGGCTTGTTGCAAGGTCCCTCCAAGGTCAAACTGTTGACCCCGCACAACATTTCTCTTACTCCTAGAAACCTATTTACTGCTAGGTAAACAGAGGCATTAGGTTGAACGAAAGGCTCACAAACATTTCTGTTCCGGCTGGAAATCGAACCCGAGATCCCCGATTGAGATTCAAGAACGAATGTAACTGTACTACTTAACTGTTGGATGCTGAAGAGTTATACAGAAAAACACTGATGTCAGTTTGGGAATATATCCGTAATTATGGCTAAAATATGAAAGATTTTGTTTACTCGAATTCAGTAAGTCCTGGAACTCTTAAGGTCCTCCATAGTGCGAGGACCTCTTATTTCCGAAGTCTTACTTATGATCTACGAAGCTGTTGTTGTCATTGTTCCATAAGAGATGGAACAGATGGAATAATACCATCTTCAAGATGGTAATATTAGTATTAATTATTGAATAAATCCACTAGGACCATGATGAGGGTTCAAACTTACGTCCAGGATGATCCCAGACGCGCCTTAATCGACTGAGCCACGACATGGTAAAAGAATTGCAACCGGGATTGCTATTCCCCTCATACGGATCCTGCAGCCTCTCCGAGACACCAACCTGGGTTTTACACAATTCCCCCATGCACCCGGGCTCTGTTAACACTCTGTTCTACCTCTTCGCCCTTCAATACACACAGAAATCCCAATAGTGTGATATATCAATTGAATAAATGAATCTCCTTTCTCCTTGTGGATTTATTCATCTGATTTATCACGCTATTGTGATTTCTGTGTAGTGTATTAATTTTATTGTCACATTATTATTATTATTAAAATCAGTTAGTTCCATGAGAAGGATTCGAACTTATGCTCTGGGTACTCCCAAGCACCCGCCTTATACCACTTTGCAATACCCAGAGAACAGGTTCGAATCCTCCTCCCGGCTCCGACTGATTTTCTCAGAAACACATCACGTTAATATGACTTTTGTAATATTATTATTAATTATAATTATTATTATCATGAATATAATTATACGTATTATAATTGTTATTTGCACTAAGCGTTAATACCTTATAAAATAATTATCGTAAAGGTATTTAAGAATTTAAATTCTCCTCTCACTGTTGAGTGCTCTCTCTCTCCCCTCACTGTTGTGAGTGCTCTCTCTCCCCTCACTGTTGTGAGTGCTCTCTCTCCCCTCACTGTTATGAGTGCGTTCTTCTTTCAGTCTTGTAGACATGTGGTATTGAATACGACTAAAGAGAATATTCCCATAACTCTACTTCGAATTTTAATGGACCTGACAAATAATGCTATATTATGTGTTTCACTGAAGCACCATTATAACATCTTCGAAGGCAGAGGAAAAGTGATTGCAAATTAACAAAGGAAACAGGAAATGTTGCACGAAGGTTGAGGAGAGGTATTACTTATTAGAGGGTACTGTGTAATCTTTCTCTAATATGGCTGTTGATAGATGGGTAAGACTGTTTTATAAATAGCAAAAGGCAAAGTAACCCTTTGCCCTGTACCAGTCAATACTCTCACTAGCATTACTGAGGCACATTCCTATATATATATATATATATATATATATATATATATATATATATATATATATATATATATATATATATATATATATATATATATATATATATATATATATATATATATATATATATATATATATATATATATATATATATATATATATATATATATATATATATATATATATATATATATATATATATATATATATATATATATATATTATTAATATGACCGAAAAAGTAAGATTAATAATTCTAACACGAATTTTCTCAATCTTTCGTACATTACGCTTCACTGTTGGAGGTAAATCAAAAATCACTTCTCCAAAATTCATTTTTATTTCTAGTCTGACGCGACACGGGCGCGTTTCGTAAAACTTATTACATTTTCAAAGACTTCACAAATACACAACTGATTAGAACGTATCTCTGATTTTATATCTACATTTGAGTGAGGTGGGAGGGGTGATGTGGCATTAACACAAGACAGAACAAGAGGGGATATTAATAGGGTATTAAAAGTATCAACACAAGACAGAACAGAAACAATGGGTATTGAATAGAAGTGTTTGTAGAAAGCCTATTGGTCCATATTTCTTGATGCTTCTATATTGGAGCGGAGTCTTGAGGTGGGTAGAATATAGTTGTGGATATAACTATATTCTACCTACCTTTCTACACAACTATATTCTACCCACCTCAAGACTCCGCTCCAATATAGAAGCATCAAGAAATATGGACCAATAGGCTTTCTACAAACACTTCTATTCAATACCCATTGTTTCTGTTCTGTCTTGTGTTGATACTTTTAATACCCTATTAATATCCCCTCTTGTTCTGTCTTGTGTTAATGCCACATCACCCCTCCCACCTCACTCAAATGTAGATATAAAATCAGAGATACGTTCTAATCAGTTGTGTATTTGTGAAGTCTTTGAAAATGTAATTAGTTTTACGAAACGCGCCCGTGTCGCGTCAGACTAGAAATAAAAATGAATTTTGGAGAAGTGATTTTTGATTTACCTCCAACAGTGAAGCGTAATGTACGAAAGATTGAGAAAATTCGTGTTAGAATTATTAATCTTACTTTTTCGGTCATATTTAATAATATATGTCTACAGGAAAGACTGCTATAAATATACTAATATATATATATATATATATATATATATATATATATATATATATATATATATATATATATATATATTAGACTGAAGTGTTGAAGCTGACATTGTTTCTCGAGACTTTCAAAGCAGAGACAGGGTCAAAAGAAGAGAGAGAGAGAGAGGGGGAGAGCAATGTAAAACAGACAAAACTACTAAGAAGGACCCAGACAATAAAATAGGAACAATTAAAACCATAGAGAAGGGACAAAGCCCTCAATATATAAAATGGTCTATGTTAACTTTTTGAGTCAACAACTTTACAGATATATCTGTATAATCTGTTTATCATGCATAGCAAACAGTACCCATTAAATGACCTGTATATTTGATATATTTGAACAATTTTCTATTCAATTTGGTTAATAAAAATAGGAAACAACTAGTAAATAGCTACGTATGACTGTCGACAGGTTTTTGTTTATTTGTAACAAAACCTCACAAGGCAGAGTGGAAAAAGCTACATTTTTTCATAACATAATATTTTATTGAATTTGTTTTATTTTTTGTGTAATACAAATAATGTATTGCACTAAAGTGTATTACACTTTCTGATAATGTTCGGGTGAAGAATTTGTAGCGGCGGAGCGGTATTCCTGAGATAAAGACCCGACGGATACACAGGGGAAAAACAAAAGGTAATTAAGATAAGGATTAGAAACTCGACGTGATTTACTTTATGTTAAAATAATGAGCTGTGGCCTCATCCTCCGCTGCTGCTGGTCTTACACATGTTCCATTATATATTTTAGTTCAAAGATATACTGTCTCAAGTTGTCTGGCTCGGATCACGTGTTAATTCTATTATTTATTGATGTTTATGGAGATCACGAATACGTCATTTATAAACCAGTGTTTGTCGAGTAGCATCATAATTCCAGGCGATGGAACACTGAACTTTACAAGAAAATCCATACTAAAGATAGCAAGAGAAAATTTACAGATTGAAGCTCCACAAATGACTAATTTACATCGAGAATCTTAGCGCCGTGAAGATGACCTTTAAGGGATTTTATGTCTGACGTTACGTATTGTGAAGCAATACGTTCATCTTATATGACTGTATAACACATGAGTCAGCTGACTCATGTGTTGACTCATGAGTCAGCAGCTTCTAGGAAGGTCGCCAACAGATTGTCCCATAGGAAAATCACCAAAATCACCATTAACTGCTTCAACTTCTATTAGAAATTATTTCCTTGGAACGATGTGGTTTCAAATCACCATCGACAATGATCCAGCAGAACCCAAAGTCAATTTCTTAATCTATGTGCACCTGAAGTTTGTGCACCTTCTTATATGCGTCTGGAAGTTTGTGCGTCTGGAAGTTTGTGCGTCTGGCAGTTTGTGCGTCTGGAAGTTTGTGCGTCTGGCTGCTTAGACTTCCGCTAGTTCCACTGTCAGCTAATCTTTGTATTTGTTAGTTTTTGTGTCTGTTAGTTTGCGTGACCACGTCATAAAATGTTAGAAAAATATCGAGCATTCAAGAAGGCTGGCTCGCTAAGTTGAAAATTATTTCCCTTCTGTGATTTCCAGTGTAAATTTTTAAAAATCTTGTTAGAAAGGTCAGTTCTATCTGTAAAAGTTCAATTATTTTGCCGAAGTTTCAATATTGTGGTTTTAATTTTTGTCTTGTAAGTAAATTGTGAGATGTTGAAGAACTTTTTCTTGTTATTTTACAACCCAGCTCCTGGGTAGAAGTGCGTAGATATTTAACGAGTAGAATTTCTCGTTAAATATGAGTAGAACTTCTCGTTAAATATGAGTGAACTTCTCGTTAAATATGAGTAGAACTTCTCGTTAAATACGAGTAGAACTTCTCGTTAAATACGAGTAGAACTTCTCGTTAAATACGAGCAGAACGTCTCGTTAAATACGAGCAGAACGTCTCG